CCCCCCCCCCCCATTTGAGACCTGCCTTTCTCCAGCTGTGCCATATTGACTGTCTACTTTGTTTACTTTTGGTTTGTGTTTGCTTTGTTTTGTTTTGATTATTTTTGTGTTTTGTGTTGTTTTGTGTTGTTTTGTTTTGTTTTGTTAAATGTTTTGTTTTGTTTTGTTTTGTTTTGTTTTTTGTTTGTTTGTTTGTTGGCTTGTTTGTTGTATTTTAATTTGCTTTTTTGTGTGTGTGTTTTTCTAATGCAAAATCTCTAGATGTCCAGTTTTTCATCATGTTTAAATTCCTTTTAGGCAATTATCATGAACAGTGAATTTAATGTACATTTTTGTATTTCCTTGCAGCTCTGATCAGTGGACTTATTGGTGCCACTGGGTTGCTCGCAAACCTTAGCTACCTTCAGAAATGTTTTGTTTGGTTAATTGAAGAAGTTGTGCTCCTAGCTGCATTTGTGGCGATTATTACGTACACTCCTTCAGATGCCAAGAAAGATCACTCCAGAAACAACTCAAGCCTTGACAGTTCATCTTACATGTATCTGGATGGCATTTACGGTTATTCAGTTTTATATGCTCAAGTTTTCATTGCTGTCAGCATAGCCATTACTCCTCGTAAATGGGCCGTTGTCAGTGCCAAACAAACAGTGGCAATGTTTATTATTTTCCCTGTCGTAATACAGCTTTTGACTCTTCCGTTTGTTAAGGCTTCATCAATCTTGAGGGACATCTGTCTGGTCTACCTTGCATTTGCTTCAGTAATTCAGATGTACAAAGCCTGCCTTGGATTGTTACAACTACTCCAGGACTTCCCAGGGATGATAAAGAATACATTCAGAATTTTAATCACCTTTGGATGGCTGGATTTATTTGTGTACCACTGGAAACGAATTAACTTAGGTCAAGTTCTGATGGTAGCTTGGGTGATAAAATTTTCAGCCATATTTAGTGTTATCTTGACTAGGACCTTCAGTATAACCGTAGCCATGTCTGGAGGTCTGGTACTGTGTTTTGACAGCCTGCAAGATGTAGCAGGAGCTAGCATTGTGGTTGGAGTGATGGCAAATGTTATCTTGGATATCATTAGCATAATAATTAAAGGAAATCTTGAGCGTCCCCGGGAAGATCGCCACCAGGAGCTCTGGAATGATAGTGTTTCCTTTTTCCTTTTGTGCGTACAAGTTGGAATTGTCAACTTACCTAAGCAGGAACGCCTCATGCGAATTGGTCTAGTCATGTTTGTGACAATTTCGCTGTTTCTGCAGTCCGCTTATGAACTAACAGAACCAGCCCTCATGTCTCTGGGGGCAACATACACAGGTGTTTTCAATAGCAAACATCTAAACACACTAGTGGTTTGTGCTGTGATCTTGGTACTTCCTGGGTACATGATAATTGTACTTTGTCAAATGTTCACCTTTGACGCTTGGCTTTTTGTGATAATCTCCAGCAATCTTGTTACAATTGTTCAAGTAATGTGCTCACTTGTAATTTACGCACTTTTCGTATCCAATGTTCATTCAGAGAGTCAAGTGAGGGACTTGGACGACTATGTTTATTACATCAATGCTGGGTCAAAAGTCTTTGAGTTTCTAGTTGCAGTGGTTGTCCTGGGGTATACTGCATGGGCCACATTAAACGGAGAATGGAATTACATTGGTAAGTTTATAAATAATGTTTTGCTGCTGCACTTACAGTGTACAGTGTAGCTTTGTAGGTAAGGTGAAGTCTGCAGAGGAGGCAAGCAGCCCATCTGGCTGGCTCTTATCTCCAGATTCTCCAGCATGAAGTGGTAGCATGAAGTAGTTTTTCTATACCCCCCNCCCTGAAGTAGCCATCTCTTTCATCACCAGATTCACAATACATGTACTAAATAAGTTGTCTCTAGTTAGTAATTACCATACGGGGAATGTTATATAGAACTGTCGCATAGATTTAAATATCAAAACCAGCTGTTAATGTTTAGTTTCAAACTGATGTCATTTTTTATTTTCGCTTTCTCTGATTACATTTACAATATGAAAAGCTGAACCAAAAAGAACAAAAAGGGTTTAAAAGACATCAAACCAGAAACAACTTCAAACCTTGAGCAAAAGATAGAATGATGTACACCTGTATTTTAAACTTCAACTTGGGGACCCGACCAAAACAGTAGACATTAAATAAGTTATGTGTTATAATAATGATGTCATGTTTTCTTCTTAAAGGTGCTTTAGTCATCTCAATGCATGCATACTTCAATGTCTACAAGCGAGCTCAAGAGGGATGGAAAAACTTCCTTTTACGGCGCAATGCAGTAAAAAGACTCAACTCCTTGCAATGGGCTACTGAGGAACAGTTACAGCAGCTCAATGACGTCTGCTGCATTTGTTATGAAGCCCTTGATAGGGCCAAAGTAACCAAGTGCAATCATTACTTCCACAGCTTGTGTCTTAGAAAATGGCTGTATGTGCAAGACAAATGTCCTATGTGTCATGCAGACATTCTGCCACAGGATTGACTATTACCTGTCCTGCAGCGAATGGCTGCCGTGGGTTAACAATGGACCATCGTGCAGTTGAGTTGTGCTTTCTCAAACTCTTTAGGGACACAAAAAGTACTTTCAAGATGGTGATGATTTAGGAGAGACATTTGTAAATGTTTGAAAAAAGCAAACCTGAGGGAAAAGTATTTGAGTCTGTGATAGCCAAGTTAAAAGTTGAATAATGCATTGATTAACTGGTTACTGCTCAGATGCTTCAGCAAAGCTGGATAGTTTTGTGAAAAACAAAACAAAACAAAACGGTATTCCACTGACCTTACTGAAGGATTTTTGTTTATCAGTTAAAAAATATATATATATCCCATGGGAAATTTACAGTTGGTGCTAATCATTATTTACATGTACATTTTTACTAAGCTTTTTATAGAAAACAAGCTCTTGAAAGTTGGCAATTTATTTAAATATAAATTAACATATATTTACTGGGCTGAGATTATTGATAGTAAATGGCTGCAGAGATACTGAGGTTCCAGAACTCCAATACTTACAACAGGAGGGACCCTGCATTTTGCTTCTAACAGAGCCCTGTCATTTGAGGGGCTAGGTGTCAGTGTGCAGTTGTCAAACCTCTGTGTAGTTGTCACCAATAGGAATCTGCTAAATGCAGGCTGTCGATGTTTGAAATTATGATGGGCTACAATATACAAATTTTAGTTTCTGGAGGTCATTACAACAACAAAGCACTTCAATCTCCTACACTGTAACTACAAGGCTTTAATAAGTAGACTTTTTGCCAGTAATAATTTATTTGATTTTCTTATTCAGATGTACACCTGTGTTTAAACATTTATTTTAAATTGCTTGATGCAAGTTTGGAACCCAAATAAATATTTAAAAACAAGTTAAAGGAGGGTATATAATATTATTTTACTAGTAGCAGTACTCTTGAAAAGGAACATCGAGCTGCACATGATGAACAAACTTAAAAATTATGTGCATTTAAATCTTCAAGTTGGTTAATGTTGGCTACATTTATATTTATATAAAAAAAACTTTTAATTTAAGTTTGGTTACAGATCAGATTATAAAGTTTATAAAAGGTTGTAATCTTCAGATTGACGTTAAATATAAGATTATAAGACTCATGAACACAAGAAAGCTGTTGTCGTGGTGTTTTATTGTAACTATTAATATTTTTTACAGCTAGATTTACTAGCAATTTATTTTTCCAAATGCTGTGTCTTACATGTAGCGAATGACTTTTGGGCAACACAAGTTGTTATATAATTATAAAATTTTAAGAAATTTACACTGTAAGCATTATATTGTTCTGGCTCTATACTTTGCCTATACATAGAGGACAAAAAAGACAAAAGTCAGTATCTGTCCACGTGGTCCACATATACCACCAGACTTTATCCCGGTGTCTGTACCATTAAGCGACTAAGAATATTTCTACTCCCTTCTGGTTGGGATGGGATGTCAGTCCATCACAGGGCTACCCCCAACACTAAACAAAACTCACCAGTAACCATTTCAACACCTGGGTGGAGCGGGGCATGGTGTGGACGCCCTGTGACCCCATGGGACAAAGACGATTAGTTAATGTAGAGAGAGCGGCTTAGAGAGTTAAGTGTCTACACAAGAGCACAGTGCAATGACCCTGGCCAGGCTTGAATCTAGACTGCTGGCTGGGTGTGCTCACCATATTTGGCCACCACAATTTTACCAGAGAGGACATAATGAAGTTTTCATTCAAAATCTAAAAAAACGCCCTTGAAGCTAATTATGTCATACTGTAATAAAGCACTGCTGAAATTTGAGAAATCAGTACTTGTTTGAGAAATTTAGTAAACATGAGCTGCACTGAACTACTTCTTCTTCTTCTTCTTTTTTTTTTTTACGCCTTGTACTGAGTACTGTGAAATACGATGTTATGGACCCAAGCTTTTATATGAAAAACTTTTCCCCCAACAAAAGGCAAATATACTCAATTTTCTCAAACATTAGCCCCCTTAAGGACTAACTGCTTCTGCACATCATTACTGTGCATGCAAATTCATACACCATGTCATGTATCGATGCGTGCTAAGTAATAAAATGAACAATGATAGGGCAGATGGCCATTGCTATAGCTTTGCTTGGATTTAACGACTTGGAAATTCGGTGCCCCCTATTTTTCTTTTGACGGATCATTTTCTCTACCGATTCTCTACATTTGGCGAAAAAATGAAGGAAATCTATTGATTAGAAGTTTGAATTTTTTGCAAAATGCACCATCGAATTCCGTTCTTTTTAGGGTTCTAGGGTTAAGTTTTGTGAAAACATTGGTAACATTTGGAATTATTTAGGCATGAACATCCCTAAAATGGACACTGGATAATGATAACCCCTTTTGGACACTGATCATCTGTGTACTGTACTGCATGTTTTCATTTTAAATGATTATATATACTAAGTGGCCCTGTTTGACACATTTTAGTGCTTTTCTTGTATTGGTAATCATACGATTTCGATTTGCATGAGTGAGTTTTTCAAAAAGCTGAAATTGCACGAGCCGCTTTTAAAAACTCACAAGCTATAATTAAGGGTGTTTTTTCAGCAGGTGATAATGTTGCTATGGTAACCCATTGTCACAAAAATGATAATGTGTTCACCAATGATTGGGCACTTTTTTCATACCATGATTACAGCATCAACTGATAAAGAGTGGCTATTATGACCCAACAAAATCTAAGTCTTTGAAAGTGTTGTAAACTGCTCCCAGCCACCTTACTTATACAGACACAGACAAAAATACACTGAGGTGGCCCTAATTTGATGTCATAAATACTAGGTTCCACTCTGACCCACTCTGTGGCTATACAAACAAGCTTTTGGGCCAAGGCATTTTGATTCAACCCATCACTTTGTTTATTCATTAGTTTTTTTTATTTTTTTATTTTTTATTTATTTTTTTTTTTTTTCTTACTTGTTATCTGCTAGTTTGTTCGATTTTGCTACTCAGCTAGCAATATTTTTTCTGTTAATTAACTCTTCTGTGTAGACCCAACCAGCCAGTCCATACCCTAAAACGGCCTGAAACGTAGCAAGTCCAATCAAGTACAGCTTAAATCGTCCATAGTAAGGCGCATAACAGAAATCAACGAAGGCAGTCAAGACTGGCTTTTGCAAACTTGCCTTCCTCTTAAAGTGCAACAATGCCACAACAAAAGATGGAACCAAGCAGCCATTGAATACCACAATCAGCGCTCCTCTGACACTTGCACATGATACACACTTCAGTCTTTGTTGTCTGATCGGACTAGAAACAAGATAATGCCAAGACAATGCAGTGATGCTTCCGCAGACTGGAGGAGTTAAAATGGCGGCCAGGAAACGTGGGCACTTCGTCGACACTCCACCGGCTGAGCGGTAAAAGCGCGGAATTATCGCTGTGAATGCAGCCGTTGATAGTCCCGTTAGTATTGAGTCGTTGGATAAAGTTTTTTCTCCTGGACTAGGTTTTCCACGCCACATAATTTGAAGGCAAAAACAGTGTGTTTCTCTTGAGCTTCTCTGTCATTTATGTTCCAGGCGTTATTTACACCAGGCCTGGCTACCCAACATTTTACTCATCCCCAATCTCCAAATGAAATCAAACGGAGCCCCTAAAGACACGGGCCTATTTCACCCTTGTCTGACATCTTAACCTGTGTGAGAACAGTTTTCACAACTTTCCAGCAGTTTCGATACTCCGAGTTTGGTGTATCGCGCATGTGCCCAATCATGAACGAACTGTGGTCATCTTTATAGCATCATAGGTTACCACAGCAGCACTGCGACCCCTTCAAAACAAGTGCACGTGTTTGTAATTTAAAAAAGGCTCGGTGAAAACCATATGTTATCATTATCAGCGAATTGTGATAAGCATGTTGAGATACAACGTTTTTCAAAAATAAAAATAAATACCACAAAAACTGTGGGGGTTTTTCGAAAATTCATTATTAGTATTTTTATTATTACTATTATTATGATCATCATCATCATCGTCATCATCATCATCGTCATCATCATCATCATTATCATCATCATCATCATCATTATCACCATCATCATCATCATTATTATTATTATTACATGCTACCGTATTTTTTGGTTTTCAACCAACCGTTTGAGAATTATAAGCACAAATTAAAGGCGTCTTTAACAGGCTGTTTCGTTGCTACGATAACTTATTATGTTATCTTGTTTGACAATAACTGGGTGTTTGCGAGATACCAGTATTGTTTTGTCTTGTTTCATCTCTAACCTTCGTATTTGTTCCCCGAGAGGGTCTCGCTTTTTACTGACATACAATGAGCCATTCCCATCAAAGACGCCACTGAGAACGAGAAGCGACCTTAAGTCCACTGCTCTGTCATGTTTGCCAGTCCTCACAGGTCAATGTAATTTTTTCAAAAAATGTGAAATAGCAACTCGCATCGACACCATATTTAAAATCCAGCTAGGAGTACTTTAATTAATTGTATCGTAATAAGAGGAC